TGTGGTATACCTCTGCTACGTGGCTGGTCTTTATTAGGACAACCCATCAACAGCACCAACACCACTACTCTTGACCGCAGTAAAAATGAACTCACCTAGTTATATTTCATTATTGAAGAGCATTATTGGAATTTACCTTTTAGCTATGATTATTCTAATTGACTGCAAATTGTGTCTGTGTGAGGAAATTAGCTAAGAATATGAAGTTATAGTTTGCAGAGAGCTCAGGTTACATAGGTATATTTCATTATCAAGGAATATTATTTGAATTCACTACTTAGTTATAAATTATTCTATAGACGTGATGTGAGCATGGTAAATTTGGCTATGTATTAGGAGTGCTTGTGGTCCAGTTGTGGCTGGAGAACTTTTAATCCCCCATCCGTCTGCTGGATTGACGGATTGAAAAAGAATCAATCCGCATCTGTCTGCCGGATTGGCGTTTGCGAAAAAAAAAAAAATTAATGGTTTTTGGTTGAAATTTTTATTTGAATTTAACCGGATAAAGACAAAATTTTTAAAAAAAGAGATAATTTTTTTAGTCAATAGATCAACTTTCCCAACACCTACTTAAATTACATTTTTTTTTCGTATGATTTTATCATTTTATCATTCAAACCGTGCCTGGCCTTTCCTACAAGGCAACATATCACAATCAAGTGGGTGAGCCATAATTTTTTTTTTTCTTTTTTTTTGAGGACGAAAGCAACAAACAAATATCATTAATAAAAATTACGTACGTTAATAGTCAGCATATGTGCCTTCCGACCTTGATAACACTAAGAAAATTAAGGGCTTGTTTGGTTTGTATTTGAGAAACATGTTTTGAGATAAAAAGTACGAAAATTTGTTTGGTTTGTTTTTTTTTCAAAAGATGTTTTGAAAAATTATTTTGAGAGAGAGTTTTGAAAAAAGTGATTGATTTGATGTGTATGAAATCTCTGTGAATTTACAATAGCAACAAGTAGACCTTCGCCGTCTACGCTGTCCATACCACCATTGATGAACATGTTCCTGCAACTGATATCTCTATGAATAATATTGAGACAGAGACACAGAGAGAGAGAGAGAGGGAGATGAGAAGGAGAAGGTGATCACGGGTAACATTTAAACTTAGCGGAGGCGTTTTCAACTCTTCAGTTTTCTCAATGTTTCAGATCCATTCTTTCCATTTATTTATTTATTTTTATTTTTATTGATATGTCTTTCCTTTTTCATGTTCTTTAATATTTTTCAGTCTTCTTTTGCTCACTCATGAAATACACAGCTTTGAATCTTTTATATATATATATATATATATATGTATGTATGTATATACTGTGCACATAGTGAATGTTATATATATATATATATATATGTATGTATATACTATACACATAGTGATAAAGTTATAAAATAACATTTAAAAGAGAAACATAGAGAATAGATCAAGGATGAGAAGGGTAATGGTGGGATCACAGTTATATCTTTTTCACAACTATATTTGTGTATATGCATACATATATGTATGTATTAGAACACAGTATTATTCAAATGTTTCATGTAAAAAGCAAGAGAGAGTTAACTGTTAGAGAGATTGAAGGAAAAAAAAAAGGTAAATAAATTACACTAATAATTTATTTTTTTTTAATTTTAATTCTTGTGTTATTTTAGTCTCTATAATTTCAATTAGCTTAATTTTGATGTTAAATTTTTTATTTTGTTTCAATTTTATCTAATTAATTATAATTATTAATATTTTTTAATGAAATATAAACACATAAGCAATATATATGTATTAGGCTTTTATTAGTAAAATTGTAAATTTATTAAATTTTGTGAGTTAATCTCAACCAACCCAATTATTTATTTATTTTTTAAATTCTAATCGACGTTATCAATTATATCAAATAGATATAAATTTTAAAATTTATGATTAAAATTAAACTAATTAAAAATAGAAGGACCAAAATAATATAAAGAGTAAAAGATAAGAATTATCAATGTAATTTATTAAAATAAAAATAGTTAGAGATCATCTCAGAGAGAAAGAGTGGAAAAAAGGAGAATTATTATAAAGTGTAAGGGGCTGTTTGGAGATGATCTAAATAAATGCACTTCTTAATAATTATATTTATTTGGGTCATATCACCTGTACATCTTTTTATAAAAAGTTAAAAACTGCATTAAATAAACAAACCCTAAACAACTCCTAAATTTAAAAATATATATATATTTTTCATATTAATGAAAATTTTATAATATTAATTATTAATATTTTTAATATGTTTTTATTTTTTTAAATACGTTTAAGGGTAGTATCAGTGCAATTCAAATAAAAAAAAAAAAAGAAAAAAGAAGAAGAAGAAGAAGTTAAACATGGAAAGTGGGAAACAAAGAGAGTGAAATGGAAAGAAACACTAAGGTCATGTTTTTTTGCATCTTTAAGTGAGGATTAGACTAATAGTCTGTAAGACTCATCTAACGAGTGTTTTGTTTGGAAAATGAGTGAGAGAATTAAATATTTCCTTAGACTAGTAATCTTCTCACGTGGTAGGACTAACAAAGTCATGGGAGGGCTAGGATTAGAAATTGAATGAGGGGATCAGTAAATTTTTAAATAATTTTTAAGCAAAAATTTTATTTTTTATAATAAAAAATAATTATAATATTAAAAAAATACTAAAAATTTTAAAAAATAATTTTATATAATAACACTATCTATAGTATTATTAATCCGATGGTGTACCAATAAACACTCTTTATTCAATATTTTCAACCTAATACCATCATACTAATAATTTTCTCACTTAATTTTACGATACTTTTAATCCTCTCAATCCTATAAGCGAAAGAAACAAACGTGGCCTAAACTCTGTTAAAATGCAATGTTTTGAGTGTGGTATACCTCTGCTACGTGGCTGGTCTTTATTAGGACAACCCATCAACAGCACCAGCACCACTACTCTTGACCGCAGCAAAAATGAACTCACCTAGTTATATTTCATTATTAAAGAGCATTATTGGAATTTACCTTTTAGCTATGAATTATTCTAATTGACTGCAAATTGTGTCTGTGTGAGGAAATTAGCTAAGAATATGAAGTTATAGTTTGCAGAGAGCTCAGGTTACATAGGTATATTTCATTATCAAGGAATATTATTTGAATTCACTACTTAGTTATAAATTATTCTATAGACGTGATGTGAGCATGGTAAATTTGGCTATGTATTAGGAGTGCTTGCGGTCCTGTTGTGGCTGGAGAAAAATGATATTATATAATATATATGCTCTATTTGATAGTACTTATAAGTTAATATTTCAGTTTATTAGTTTTAAAAAAAAAAAATTAATGGTGTTTGGTTGAAATTTTTATTTAAATTTAACCATCTAAAGATAAAATTTAAAAAAAGAGATAATTTTTTTAGTCAATAGATCAACTTTCCCAACACCTACTTAAATTACATTTTTTTCCCTATGATTTTATCATTTTATCATTCAAACCGTGCCTGGCCTTTCCTACAAGGCAACATATCACAATCAAGTGGGTGAGCCATAATTTTTTTTTTTTTGAGGACGAAAGCAACAAACAAATATCATTAATAAGTATTACGTACATTAATAGCCAACATATGCACTGGGGAAATTACATGCCTTCCGACCTTGATAATACTAAGAAAACTAAAAAACTAACATCTCTATGAATAATAGACGTTCGCCGTCTACGCTGACATCTCCGTGAATCTACAATAGCAACAAGTAGACATTCGCCGTCTACGCTGTCCATACCACCATTGATGAACATGTTCCTGCAACTGACATCTCTATGAATAATACAGAGACCGAGACACACAGAGAGAGAGAGAGAGAGAGAGAGAGAGATGAGAAGGAGAAGGTGATCATGGGTAACATTTAAACTTAGCAGAGGCGTTTACATTTTCACGTTCTTTAATATTTTTCAGTCTTCTTTTGCCTACTCATGAAATACACAGCTTTGAATCTTATATACATATGTATGTATATACTGTGCACATAGTGAAAGTTTTATATATATATATATATGTATATATGTATGTATATACTATACACATAGTGATAAAGTTATAAACACTACAAGAAAAAGCACAAATGGTGACTAAAATTCAGAATTTCGTCGCTGAAAGTTGACCAAATGGCGACTAAACTGGATGTAGTCGCCAAAAATGAAGCCTTTTGCCGACTAAAATGAATTAGTCGCCGAATACCAGGGTTTTAGCGACTAAACTGTTTGTTGGTCGCCGAATGTAGCAGTTTTACCGACTAAAGGTTGTTTGGTAGCCAAAAGCGACGGTTTTTGGCGACTAAAATAATTTAGTAGCCAAAAGTGATGGTTTTGGCGACTAAAAACCATTTTAGTCGCCGATTATAGGTCTTTTGCCGACTAAAAAAAGATTAGTCGCTGAAAATGAAGGTTTTTGGCTACAAAAAAAAATTAGTAGCTAAAAACAGTGAATTGGCGACTAAATTTCAATTTAGTAGCCAAAACGGGACGTTTTTGGCGACTAAAAACAGATTTTTTAAGAGAGAAATATAGAGAATAGATCAAGGATGAGAAGGGTAATGGTGGGATCACAGTTATATCTTTTTCACAACTATATTTGTGTATATGCATACATATATGTATGTATTAGAACAGAGTATTATTCAAATGTTGCATATAAAAAGCAAGAGAGAGTTAACTGTTAGAGAGATTGAAGGGAAAAAAAAAAAAAGAAAAAAAAAGGTAAATAAGTTACACTAATAATTTATTTTTAAAAAATTTTGATTCTTGTGTTATTTTAGTCTCTATAATTTCAATTAGCTTAATTTTGATGTTAAATTTTTTATTTTGTTTCAATTTGATCTAATTAATTACAATTATTAATATTTTTTAATGAAATATAAACACATAAGCAATACTTGGCGGTGAATTAACAAACTTAGCTTCACATGCTGAATGGGGAGGAGAGGTATTTAGTTCATCCGGCACCCCTAAACCCGCAATGGGGGGAGGTCATTTTCTAATTGAGAGCACCAGATATGATGCACTTAAGAGTCCAAGTGGAGGGGATATAAATCCTCATACATACGAGTTTACAAACAGTAGAAAACTGTATGACGTGAAGGATGAAGGAAACAAGGGGGCTTACTTTGGGCCTCTTATACTATATGGGGGCCTGCAGGTTCCTAGAAGAACACAAATTTGATACTTTTAAAACTTCATTTTGGCATGGATTAATAATTTAAAATTGCCCTTGTCCTTCTATATATATATATATATATATAATTGCATGTGGTTTGCAAAACTTTTATTAGGGCTAAAGTGCTAAGTAGGATTACTTTTCTTATATTTTTAACAACAAAATTACTAAGTAGGCTTGTACAATCAAATTTATCTATCATATCATTTTCAATAAATAATTTATTAACTACAATATAGATTTGTCCAATTAATAATTAAACATCAATCTCTTTTTTCTATTGTTTGGTAACTAGTTGAATTGTTTTTTGAGGGGCCTTTGACTGTGGTTTGGGCTTTCCATTACGTGGGAATTTAAAATTAGAGCAATTAATAATTGTGAAAATTATAATTTAGTGGGATAATTATAAAATAATTACAATATAGATTTTATTTTTTATTTTTTTTAAATTTTTTGGTGCAGCAACACACAAATAAAAATAACAAAATTTTTCATTACAATAACAAAATTTTGGACAAAATTATATTATTCCTTCTGTCCACATATCAAAAATAACATTAAAAAATAAGAAAAGAACACAGGAAACATGGTTCTTTATGAATTATATATGAATTTTTTAACCATAATCCTCCACATGCCATATGCAAATTTCCCACCCCAGGACCAATATTTACCATATTCTAGTGTTCATTTTATACATTCTGTAAATTGAGAAATAGCACAAAAAAAAATATCTCAATGATACTGTCAAAAAGGAGAGGATCAACCACAATGGTGGGGATGGTTGAATTGTAACAAATCGACAAGTTATATAATAAGCCCATCGCTTACGTGACCATATAAATCACGGCCGCAAACTCTCAGAAAAACTGGTGGTGGGCGCAACCACCTATATCGCGGGCGCGACTGTGCTGACCGTGACCCCTCCTCGTGGTCCATTGTGAAAAACGCATTCACCCCCCCAGCCAGAGGACCTGAAACTATGTTTTGGTCGCGGCCGACGGCGACTTCCAACCACACCCAGTTGCAGGCGCGACCAAGCAATTCCAAAACTCCTGGGCTACTGCCCATCAGCCATCTTGAGGCACACCAACTGACAAACCTACCTAGAATGGTCCATGTCACCCACGACAACCCCGTGTCCCAACCAAAATGGAAACGGATTGGATTAAACTGACCCAAGCCACTACACCAACAAAGTAAGAAGATGAGAGAACATTGCTTGTAATTGGATGAACGTGTGATTTTTTCTTGGCACTAAACTTGGTGAGAGAACTCTCTTTTGAATCATGCCTAGATTCAAAGGAAAAAATATAAAATTACTTAAAAAGACAAGAAAGACGATAATAAAAAGGAAAAGAATAAAAGTGAGTAATTAAACATGTTTAAACCTAAATAAGAGATAATATGTTTAATTATAGAGTAGAGAAAAGCTAATATTATATAGGGCTTAATTTTTCATTTTATGTTCGACATAAGTTGTATGTAACTCATCAATTGTAGAAGGGATCTTGAATTGGCTTAACTACCTTTAGTATACTAAATAAAATTTATTGAATCATGACAGTGAGCCAGGGGAAGCAGGAACAAGATCCTTTGTGGAGATTTTTCATGTTCAGATCTTGTGGAGATTTTAGGAGAACGTGCCACCTCATTTTAGTGAGATGATCTTGTGGCTGAAAATGAACTGTATCTGCGTGTTGAAGAAATATAGTGAGCCGAAGCAGTTTTGGCTAAATGACTTACTTGTTTGTTTGTTTGTTTGTTTTTTATTATTTAAAATTACTAAAATAATATTTGCATATTTATACATTTAAAATTGGAGAAATTTACGGTGGACACTCCTTAAAAAGTAAGCACTATGTAAGCAAATTATATTTTTATATGGTAAAAATTATAAATAAAAAATTTATAATATACAAATTAAAGTGAAAATTATGACTATTATGGTGTATATGATGAATTTTGTAATTAAATTATAAATGATGTGGTGTAAATGATATAAATTTTATATTGTGAGAATTGTTACGAATTATTTTGACAAAAAAAATTATGACTTGTTATGGTAGGTGTTATGAAATGTTACGAATTATTTCATAAAATTATTAAATTTAATCCCAAAATTTACAAATCATTTTAGTAACAAAAATTACAAATCATATTAATAATCAGAACATTCCATAAAATTATTAAATATAATCAAAAAAATTTATATTAAATTAAATTTACAATCATATGGAACTTCTACAGCAACATACGTAACATAATCATAATATTTCATAATAAAACAATAATAAATTATTTTTCCCATTAAAATAATTTGTAGTAACATTTCTCATCACACGTGATTCATATTATTTACACCAAATTATTCTTAATTTAATGTTATAAACCACAATTGTAAAAATGGTTTTAGTGTACACATTATAAGAACCTGAAGTTAAGGGTTGGACAAATCGTCTTTAATGGTCTTGAAAATTTGGGATGTTTAAATAAGAATAATTAAAGATATCATTTTCTTTGCAAATGGAAAATGCCCCATCTCAAGGAACTTTTGTTATTTTAGTTTCTGGCCATTCAATTGTGATATATTTGATTCTAAATTTTGAATCTCGTTCTAAATAAGAATAATTAAAGATCTCGTTTCTTTCGCAAACGAAAAAGTGCTCCATTTTAAGGACAAAGTCATTAATTTGATAAAATATAAATTAGTTTGTCAAAAATAAATGCCAAAAAATTATTTTTAAATTTTAAAAAATTATTTCTACCTTTCCAAAAATAAAATTCTTGATTTATCATTTCATATGGTATCAGTTTCTTAAATCAAGGAGTATGATCTACTACTTTCCTAGTAATCTCACATTTCTATGTCTGAAAATGCATTGGGAATAGGTTATCTTAGTTTAATTTTTGATTATTTTAGTCTAGTTAAAAAATTTGTGTTTGAGATGATAATTTTTTTTTTTTTTGGTAGTTGATTTGATGATTGTTAGAGAAAAAGTAAAATAATTATGGTTTTAATGTGACATTTTGTCTTATTGATTATTTTAGCCCAAATTTAACTTTCCGAACAGTTAACATTTTTTTCTCATAGGAATCTGTGTGTGTATATATATATATGAATCTATATATATATATACATATATGAATGGTAAGTGAATTTATGAAATTTAATATATATATATATATAAATCTTTGTGTGTATATATATGAATCTGGTTTCATAAATATATACATATATGAATGATATGTGAATATGTGAAATTATATATATGAATTTAGTTCTTGGTTTCAAATCAATTTTGACAGATAAAAATTGTACAAATAAAATAGGTTATGTGAAATTAAACTAATAATGAACAGATAGGAAAAAATTGTAACAGATGAAAAATAATTTATAAAAATTAAACGTGTAGATAAAAAAATTTGAACAGATAAGAGAAAAATTTTAACAGATATACATAAATTTGAACAGATAAAAATTAGAACAATAATTAATTTAATAGGTTCTAAGGAAGGAAAAGTTGAGATTAGCCACTTCTGTAAGCAGGAAACTTGCCAACGCGAGGGCCCTACGCCAACTACGTTCATGCAACATTAAAATCTTTAAATACTATTCTTATTCTGGAAGCATAGTGATCCTAAACTCAAAACAACTTAAAATTATAAAAAGTTATAAGTTTCTCCTTTTTATGAGTATTTATCATCATTTCTATATTCAAGATCTGTTACAAGATCGTGATCAAGTACTAGTATTTATCGTAAACAGTTAAAAAAAAAAAAAAAAAAACTACGGATGGTATCACAAAAATAAAAAATATATATATGTAAAATAAAATTAAAAAAAATATAAAATAAATAAAATAATAATAGTAATATTAAAATACACATCACTGCCACATTAGCAAGCCACATCATTTGGGCCAAGTTGCCACCAAAAATTCGGATTATCTAACATTACTCTTTCAACTTCACCTTCTATCCATGTGGGACTTGTATGTGTAGGTATCAGCATTTCGTTCAAAAAAAGAAAAAAAAAATGCGGAATTGTTATAAAAGCCAGTTTTTTGAATTTTTTGCTTTTTTGCGTCATATCACTTCTCTACATTTTTACTTGTTTTTTAAAAATGAAGTTAAAAAAAAAAAAGTCAGAAAGCCAATTTTTAACTTATTTTCCAAAACAATGCAATATGTATACATACATACATCATCATCCATATGGACTCTACAACCCATGCATGCCTATGTATAATATATACTACAACTACGGCTATGCAAAATACTGCTCAATCCATTAAAACCGCACCGATCCGTATCAATCCGCACTGTTCTATCCGCTAATCGCGGATTAAATTTTAAAATTTATGATCCGCCTTTTAAACTGCTCCGCTATAGTTAATATATATGTATATATATATAATTTAATTCCAATGAAATATCAAAGTAAAAAAGAGTATGAGAGGGATTTAAGATGTGAAATTTGTTACAAATTATTACTTATATATATCAAACATATTATGTAAAATTAGGTTGAGTTATATACAATTTTTTTTTTATGTAAACTAGTGTTATATATTACGTAAATGTTTGATAATTGGTTGGAATATTGTTTAATCCATCAATCCGTCCAAAACCGCTTAGATCGCGATTTGTCAATCTGCTAATCTGTCAATCCACCATTTAATTTGTAATTTTACTCTCAAACTTGTGCTGAGCTTGATCTAAGGAAGGAAAGGTTGAGGTTAACCACCTCTGTAAACTGGAAACTTGTCAACGTTAGAGCCCAACACCAACTACGCTCAGATAACGGTCAAAATCTTTAGATGTTGTTCCTCTTTTGGAAGCATAATGGCCCTAAAATCAAAACAACTTAAAATTATAAGAAGCTATAAGTTTTTCCTTTTTTATGAGTGTTTATCATCATTTATAAATCCAAGATTTGTTACTAGATCGTAATCAAGTACTAGTATTGATCGTAAATT